CACACATGCTTTCATTTAAATAACTATTTGAAGCCAACAGAAGTAAAATTATCCATTATTTCCCAAAAAGGAAACGATTAGAGAAAAGCAAAAAAAAATGAAAACAGATTTAGTGTAGCACAACTTTGTTTTTCTCCATTAATCATCTCATGACCCCACACACTTATCTTCTGACCCTTAGGAGAGGCCTGACCCCTAGGTTGGAACCCACTGGATAAAACTACCTGACTGGCTAAAGTAGATACAGTAAACTCGTTCCACCTCAACCAGCTACAACCGTGAAATGCTGCTTACACATTGTTGCATTAGCATTCAAAGTCATATGATTGGGACATTGTACTGCAGAACAAGCATTTTTACTTTTAATACTTAAGCAAAGGAACTCTAATAGCTCTTCCACCACTGTTCCATACATTCAGCAACTTTCTCTTTCTTGTCGCATTTCAAAACTTGTTTTTTTAGAAGAATAACAGGAAATATTGTTAGCACCATTTGCTCATAACATGCCAACAAAAAGATACCCACTGCTCACTGAGCACTACCAGCCTATTCTGTAGCTGACAGGAGAGAGTTGGATGCACATGCTCACACAGTGGTCAGCAAGGCCACCTCAAGTCTGTGTGTGGTTAGAGAGAAGCATAAGCTGCCTCTGACAGCTGTGAGAAGGAGATCGAGCAGCCATGATGGATTCGAGCAGTGAAATCAATCCTGTGCTTCACCTATTTTATGATGTTGGGTTTTTTTTTTTTTTTTTTGATCAGCTACTTTTAAAACTGCCAGTTGAGTAATTTGTAATGGATATCGGCTGATATTGATTCAGATTGATCCGAGTATACCTACTGTGGGGCAAACAATGCAATGCATCTATGATAGCCTTCTTAAACAAAAATGAACTTTTATTATCTGTAATCAAATGAAATAATAGCAAGGAAACATGCGTATGTGAATTAGATCAATCCCTTAGTCATCCATGTAATATTTCCTGTGCAACATACTGAACGCATACCCTGAATATATGAAATGCCTGTTGTGGCTTGTTTTCCTCTAATTAAAGTCAAAATGCAAAATTAGCCATCTGGCCTTCTGTTCTTTCATAGTCTGAGGCTTCTGATACACTGTAACCTACAGCACCAAGCAGAATGGAAATACAAACCAGATGTACATTTGCTTGATGTTCCACACAAATAAAGGACAACCTAAACCAACTAAAACAAAAGACCAATTGAGATAAATACCACAAGACCAGGAAACATAATTCAATTAAATAATCAAATGCTATTTGCATATCAAGGATCTAAAGATACTATCATTGTAATAGGCAGAAGTAAGAAGGTGCAGGTGGCTTTGTGACTTATGTAAATGTATTAAACTAGTTTTCTCTTCATGATTTGGCCTAGTTGTGTTTTAACATGTCAATGCATGCATATTAACAACAACATATTATATCAGTGTACTAAATTTATCTAGGGTTACAGAATAAGGAGGTTAGGCATACAAGAAAAACATCTCTAGGACATACCTCTGTTCAGAATTCAGCGCTTAGTCGAGGTACTTAAAATAATTGGCCTATATTTGGGCAGTACAGTATCTGCCTCTGCACAATAATGAAGTAAATCAATCATTGTGCTAGGTTAAAGCAAAAAAAACAAAACACAACTAACTTAGAGAAATTTTCTTACTTTGAATTGTACCTTGCATTGCCAAAAATCACTGTGCTCTGCATGTGAAGTAGACTGGAATAGCGATTCCAAATATAAAATACAAATTTGTTTAAGGCTCATGAAAATGTTTCCACTCTGGAGGGATTAAAAATAGGAATCGGCTAAAATGGGGGATGGAGGGGGTCACTTCAATCACTGCTTTCACTGCATGTTTGCATTTACCAGAGCAGAGTCAGTGACTAGGAGCAAGGGGTGACCAAAACCTGTTTCACACTAAAATGCTTTGCTTTCCCTGTTTCTTTAATCAAATGCACATTTTCCTGTCCTCTGTAATAAATGTCTTCCAAGATGGTGTATGACCAATGATTTCAAAAAGCAATAATGCAGAGAAATGGATAACCCCCCCCCTCACACACACACACACACACACACACACACACACACACACACACACACACACCCGGGATGCTCTGGAAAAAGAAACTGTGTCGTCTAGTAAAATTCCATCAGCATACACTCAAAACCCCCGTAAAAACCTTTTCAATCTATATGTTAATGCCACGAATTAAAATTTAATAACAAGAGATATTGAAAAGCAGCCTTGAATTATACAAAAATAAATCCTGAAAGATCAGGCCCTAAAATTAGAAATTCAGGGCGGCATCCGGTCTGCTGCTAAACCCTTGTAGGCTGGCAGATTAAATTTTTGATGAAAATCAAAATTACACTGCACACTGACGCAGGCGCAGCAAACCTGGCACTATTGTGATTTATGGATTCATTAAACCCGCGGGAGTTTCACCCCTCCCCTTTTCACTCAAAGAAATGAGATTTGCTTTGCTGAAAATTTGTATTTTCAGAAAAGCTACTCAGGCTCTGCTCTACCTTCAGAAAATGGTCAAGAAAAAAAAAGCTTCTGTGTACATAACCACTGCACGTAAACAGGCCTATTTTCATTGCTGCAGCAATTGAACGCCCTTATGCATTATTCATGAAACCAATAAGGTTCATTTTTAAAAAGGAAGAGGCAGGAAAAATATGTGCAGAATGCACAGAATTTTTTTTTAATGCAGCAGCCCCAACCCCTGAAAAGCCATTCCCTGGAGACTAATTTAAGTGAAGCCATTTTCAGACATTTTCAACATGCCACTAAGAAAATAGCAGAACATAAGATGCTCGCTATGTTTAAAAAGGATGTATGTTTGCTCCGACAGATTTTAAACACAAATCATGCATCTGTAATTGTGCATTAACCAAAAAAAAAAAAAAAACTGGCATGACATCAAAGACAGAAACTGTTTGTGTAAGGCCGCTTACCCTTTAAATAGAAAACAAAACCTGCGTACTAAGTTAATGGCAATAAGAGCAGCAACTATGTTTCAAACACTGCAACCCACAGGCTGTGATATGATCCCTCACCATCTTGTGTTTATCAGTGCCTGGGGGAGACAAGTTTCACCTATCCATCCAAACTATTCGTTCCAAATATCCTCAGTGAAACAAAGCTTTTGTTCATTAAAGTACAGACAGACCAGCATTCCTCCTACCTTACTTAAAATGAGAACACTCCCAGAATGCAATTCCCATTAACCATCTCAGGGTTTAAGGTGTTTTTTTTGTCTCAACACTGCAGCATTATTCCTGAGAGCTTTCTTTATAAAAGTTATTTATAAAGTTATAATGTATTACTCTGCCCTTAAGGTATTCTGCATATAAACATTCCCATCAGTCAGAGAGTGATCCAACCCTTAACTCATGACACTGGTTGCCTCTCTTCACGTCTGTACTTTAACTGAAACTCCTGCATTTTGATTAGGCTTTCCAAGCAAAGGTCAGAATTTACACCCAGATTTTGAATACCAACCACACAATTTCCACCAGCTCTTTGAATTTATACAGATTTGAAGGTCAGCATTAAAATTACCCACAGCAAAATGGCCTCCGCAGATTCCCTTACATTAAAATAAAAGCAAGCCATGCAAGATGGGAAACTGTTTGGCGTCTGCAGGATTAATATAAACAGTAGAGGCACTGGTTGTGATTGTTTTTCCTGCCCTCAAATTATGCTGACATGGGTCTTTTCTTCTTCCAGTGCTGTTCAGTTCACTTTGGATAGTTATTTTCCGCTTACACATTTCCAATCCCTAGAAATAAAAAAAGTCCAAATTGTTCCATGTTTACCAAGTAGTGAATTATATATCTGTACACCCAGCATGACACACAAATACACACGCATGCACAAACAAGCAAGATGAATGAAAATTAACATTGTGTATGTTACACTGAAAAAGGATTCATGATGGTTTTAACAGATTGTTGTTTGTTTTCTTATCTCTATCTCCCAAGCACATTGAAATAAACTGTTTCTTTATGAATGCTTAAACCTTCAAGTCCATAATATGCATCATGAATAAAAACCAAAACAACTGATTTTTTTTTTTTTTAATTAACTTGCACAATGGCGTTTAAAAAAAAAAAAGTCATTTTGCATTCACTAGCATGAAAAGCACAAGATTATTTTTTTCATTTTAATGTGAAGCAATCATTTCGGACTGGCGACTACTCATTTCAAAAGCATTACAACACGTCCCCATTAGCATAAAGTAACATTCAATATTTTTAAAAAAACAAGTCTCAAAAACTAGTCTCATTACAATTTTTTTAATTTCTCAAAATGACTGCCTACAGGTGGCGCCAATGACACACAGATTTAAAATCCTCTATCTTCCTAAAAAAATGTAATTCCACATGTATTTTGATATGACGACACTTTGGTGGCTCTCCGTGGCTTTCAACAATGAACACCAAGCCGTCTAATACAACCAGAAGTGAACGCTGACATTGTGTGAGTTTCAGAGGAGAGCAACTCCGGAGCTCTGCTCAAATTTGCTGGAAAATTCACAAAACATGGCTGCAGGAGGTTTTTGTGTTTCAGATTGTTCCTCCCCTCATCGTCCTTCATGTTGCCACTATCGTGTGGTCCCTTTTGCTCTATCGGCACACACACACAGGGTTTTTTTTTACCTAGGTGGTGTACATGCGAACTAACTAGGTGGCACAGACGACTAGTCAGCAGTTACACGGAAACTTCATTACAAAAATTCAGTGTTAAAAAAAAAAAAAAAAAAAAAAAAAAAAAAGAAAAACATCAACAGATTAGGTCTATTTCGGCTGGCTTCAAAGCCCTGCACCTGGTTTAGTGGCAGGCAATAGTGCAAAAGAGGGCTGCCGGGTCTCGTCTATCAAGTACAAGGGACTGAAACTTAACATCCGCAAGTGAAATTTCTAAAATTTAGGATTTCTAAATCAGAAAAAAGAAAACACAGTGGTGTGACATACCTCCAAAAACGATGCAGCTCATGCGAACCAGGCTCCCCCGCTCCAGAAACCTTCCCTCCCCGACCAGAGGTGACTGCACAACAAACTGCTTCCTCCCCCAAAAAAAAAATTGTGAATTAGTTATGAGAAATTCCAATTGTTAAAAAAAAAAATTTCACCACGGGCTCTCTCTTTTTCTTTTTTTTTTTTTTATCCCTCCGCGACACGCTACGTTACATTTTAGAAAGAGTAATGGCGTAATGAATCATGAATTTGCCGAGCTTTACTCGGTCCGTGCAAGCTCTCTCCGTTTTCTGCCGTGCACAGGGGGGGCGGGTTGTGTTGCGGTTCCTCTTGTGGAAATTTCGTCCGCCATATACAAGGGCAGATTCCGAAATTGCAGCGCCGGCCTGTATATTAGCCTACATGGGGAAAAAAAGAAAGAAAAAGGAAAAAAGTCTGGGAAGAAGACAGGGGGGGGAAAAAGGTTGGCCGACTATGAAGTTACACGGGGGAAAAAAAGCGACTGGAAATTACGCAGAGGAAAATATTCACAGAGAGCATTATATTATATAGCTGTATAGAGCTCTTACGACAGCTCTACACTGTTGAGATATGGAGGTGTTTTATGCTGATAATAGCTTCCGATTAGGTCGCTGTTGAAGCTTATTTGTCGGTGTAATGACTGTGTAAAAGTATCAGGTGCTTGGTCAGATTATTGTCCAAGTTTGACATATGCTTTCCAAATGTTTTCCTTGTTGCTGATTTTGTTGGAAAGAGAAATAGCAGCCCTCTGTTCAACACGTAAGTTTTTTTTAATTGTTCATTGTGCACAATTAAAACATAGGGTTTTACTAAAAAAAGAAAGAGTGACAACAGATTCATTAAATCCACGGATGTCAGTGCTGTTGACTGCAGCAGTCTCCACATACAGTACAGTTTGTGTTAAGGGTGACTTGTCGAGAGCAAGGTTTTGGTTGGCCAACAAATTTTGATTTCAAACCCATACTTTTACAGAATTAACAATGTTTTTTTCTTTTGAAATAGTTTTGTTTTGTTTCTAGAAAAAAGTTTTCGTGCTAAAATGGTTAGAGAAGCAGGTTTAGGCTTGTCAACCAGTAATATTCAGTGTTTCAAATTCATTTAGTGTACTAGGCTGTAAATATGGGTTGAATTCATTAGACTTGACAATAATATAAAGGTACAGTAATACCAACAACAACAATAATTATAAAGCAATATATTATGTACTATTATAAAATCTTGAATACAATTTAGCAACATTTTCCATGAGTACAGTAATATAATTAAAGAAATAAGGGCCAGTTTGTGCCTTTTCAAGTCTTTTATTCTCCTTTGAATCCTTATTGGTTCAGTCATCTGCAAACCTCTCATAAGGGATGTTCAGTCACCTGGAGAATGAATAGATTCATTAATTTCTGATTTAATCAATCATTAATTTATCCAGTTAATCAATTCATTAATTTGTAATAAATGAATCAGTGAGTTAGTAATTATGGATTGGAATTATTGGAAAGTAGAGAAAGTCCATAATGAATTGAAGCCACAGTAATTGACACTTAAATCTATTAATGATGTGTAATTCAGTATTGTTTTATCTCTTTCTACCACCCTAGGAGGACTTACTCTCTGTATGATTTATTTATAAATGTCTTTATTATTTTTACAATTTCACAGTAATCACATTGATTGTAATTATTTCTTTACATTAATACATTAATGACATAAATAGCTTGGATTTTTTTGTACCTACACCTTGTTTTTGTAGTAGTATGCGGTATGCAGAAACTGCACTGTGAAGACCACTCCAAACAAATCTGTGACAAAGTTATAGAAAATTACTAATCAGAGGAATGATACAAGGCACCAAATATCTCTCAGAGTACAGTCAAGTCAATAAGAAATATGGCATAACTGCAAATCCGCCTCCTTAAAAATGGAGTATCCCCACAAGGAGGGCACAGAGGGAGGCCACTAAAAAGCCTGTTGGACTCTGAATGAGCTACAGGTGTCTGGGTGCTTCACAGAGTGGCAGAAAGAAAGTCCTTTAATTTTTGAGGAAAAAAACCCTCATAATGTCAATTACAGCAAGGCTGAAGTTTTCCAGAGGGCACGCAGTAGACTTCAAAATATAGAGGAAATAATAAAAAAATATATATTTTTTTTGGCATCATACTCATACTAAAGACCCACAGCACATCAGCAGAAACACAAAATGTTATGAATCCTGTTGGAGGCAGCATCATGTAGATGCTTCTCTGCAGCAGGCCCTGCAGGGTTCGTGAGGGTAGAAGGGTCAAATAAATGCAGCAAAATGAGAAATCCTGGAGGAAAATTTGCTGCTGCAGCAACTTGGGAGTATTTTTATTTATTTTTTATTTTTTTCAAGACAACAACTCTAAACATATAGCCACAACTATACAGGAATGGCTGAAAAACAACTATGTCTACGTCAAGGTCAGAGTCCAGTCAAGAATTTGTGATGGGACTCACAGCTCTTGAGCAACTTTACAGAGCTTGAGCAATTTTGCAAAGAAGAATGGGGGAAATTGCAGTTTGTCCAGTGGTAAAAAGCTGATAAAGACCAATCTGACTAAAGGCTATCAGCGCTGTTAAAGGTGCCTCTGCTCACTTACATGAAAAATGTGGATATGTTCATTTACTATGTGTTTTATATTTGTAATAAATTCAATTTTTGGCTTTCACTTTCTTGTACTATACTGTTTATTGTTGTGTTCTGTTATCAGTGTCAGAACTCTTATTATGCACTGTTTCAATGATTTATTGTTGTATAATAACACAAAAAATATTGTGGCTGTGGAGGGGGGACACTGCATCAACTATGATAATTAATTTTCCTTTTCTCATGGGTGTAGCATGATTTATTTTACCTTTATTATCAAATTAAGCTGGGAAGTTTTTTTCCTTTTTCTTTTCAATATGCAGATTAATGCACAGAAATAAATGACTGAAAGGCTCCCACAGTTTCTTGTTTTTCATGAATCCCATAAACATTAATCTGTTACTGTCTGTTTTCAGAAACTGCTCAATAATGATATGATTAACCTTCTGCAATTGGAAAGCAATGAGATCACTGATAATTTAATGAATCATTCCTTATATTAACAATATGGACGCAGGCTAATGAGATCATCCATCCTGTCGTACTTAAAACTGGACTAATAATGAAACAGAGCAGAGGAAGTAGTGTACATCCACTAATACTTATAAAGTGTTCATACATTTTCAGATGTACTTTCTTCTTGTTATCTGGATGGTATAGTCTTCATCAGTTACACAGAGCTTTGTATGTTCATTCTATCCCGGGTGCACTTGGAAATTAGTTGGTGCTGGTGTGATTAATTGCATATAACATAAAACAAGTGTTTATGATCTGCACTCAATGCCTATGTTGTTTTGACTTATACACCAAACCTCTCTCTCTCTCTATGTATTTATCACTTCTGTCCAGCAGAGAGCACCAACATACCAATAACTAGAGAATTCCTTAGGCTCCTATGTATGCAGTGGCCAGGGGGTAAGCTGCAGCTGTAAATTAGAACCTGCTCACTTTTTGCTCTCCGTCTCCCTCTGCTGCTTGAACTTTGAAAGGTCTGATCCATTTCCATCAGTCACAGAGATACTCTCCCCTGAAGTCTGTTCTGTTACCTCCCCAGGAATTAAAATCCTTCATGTACAGTATATTAGAATAATGATGGCTGATAGAGGCTTTGTTTCAAGTTTATTTGTGGAGCACAATCTCGTAGAAAAGCAATTGTGATTTAATTTAACTGTGAAAAAACAGTTGAAAGTTAGAACGTACAAACAGACAGCACTCACAAACACACACAAGCTAAACTAAACAGAAAATGTCTTGGGTTTAATCTTTAAATAAGAAAATAGTTTAGGTACAAACCTTAGATCAGGCAGGCTGTTCCATACCTAAGGAGAAAAAACACTGAATGCCCTTTCGCATGTTAAACTGGGCCAAAAAAATTAAAGTCAAGCACAGTCAGTCCTGTAATGAACAGGTAGCCAGTGGAGCTGTTCAGAGTGATATGATGAAATGTTTTGGTCCGAGCAGGTTGCTGCATTTTTAATTAGCCAAAGCTGTTAACTGGCTTTTACAGGGGGAAAAAATGGTAGAAAATGCATTACAGTAATCTATTCTGGTGACGAAGGCATAGAAAAGTGTTTCCAGGTCTGAATGTGATTTTTCGTCCCCCTGAGATTATGGAAGACAATTGGTGATGCTGCATGAGTTATTACTCCCTGGATGCTTGCTTTGTGGACAGGAAGTGTTTGAGGACACTGTCACGGTCAAGGGTAGCTCAATATTTGAGTTCCTGGTGATATTCTCAGCTCTTAATCACTTGAAGTTACTTTAAGGTTCTTTCACACTGATGAAAAAAAAGGCACTAAATTCAAGTGAGACAAGAGTCTAAGGCTGAAGGATAATTCAGACAATGAGGAATGAATGAGACAGTTCTTCACAGCAGCAGAGAACAAATTGAATCCAGTGACTCAGTGGTAAAAGAGTTTCTTACTCCTGCTGAAACATTTGGGAGCAAAGAAATTTGGGATAAAACCTAGCAACCATAGTGTCCTTAATATTACAAAACACACTCTATCTTTCCTCTCTCATTTTTCACAGCTCAAGGTTGGCCTGACCTTCTCTCAACCTACTTTTTGAGAAATATTCCTTCAAGTGGCAGAAGAACCAACAGGTGAGTAGAGCTGACAACAAGGATGCTATTTTTTCTCAGCGACCTACTTGGGCTCGAGAGCCGCCAGACCTTTGCTGCATGCTCAAGAGCTCGGCATAAATTAGGAGACACTGCCCCTACACTAATGTTACCACAGTCCTCCAAAATTTGACAGCAATAACCTGGAAAAAGAGAACAAAAACTGTCATGGCTCCATAATCAAATACAGTACTTCACTATGAAAGTTACATTTGAATTGTTTTTGTAAATATGTAAGTGTGATTTATATTACAGTATACTCTCTCCATAGATACATTCACTTGAAGCAAGACTGCAACTTTTGAAATGAGAAAGCACTCGACCTTCGATGACAAATGAAAACTAGAAATATACATCGAAACATGTCACAAGCAGTTGAAGACCTTGGAGAACATCAGGGTTTTCTTGAGTCCTTGAGACAAAGCCTTGAAATGGAAATTACTTTTTGTGCACTAATTTACACACAAACTGTGAAAACACACAAACTGCATAAGGGGGAGGCCTGTTTACACATAAAGGACCGTGTTGAGCACTAATGATACACAGACAAGAGAGTATGGACATGCATGTACATACATTTTGCTGTTGTTGGCGTGTGTTGACATCCAATGCGCAAAACATAGCAGGTGGCCTCATTTAAGCTATATCTGAATGGTGACAGTGTTTATTTATTCACCAGTTATACAGCCCTAGCTAGCATGATCAGTAAACAGAATG